CGACTGCCAAGCGTGGGGCAGGGTCAGTGGGAGTTTGCTTTGTGGATGTGGACAACGCTCTCATCGAGAGCCTCCGGAGTGTTCAGAAGGCCATTAGCAGGGACAAACCCTGCTTTGAGCTCTGCGGCTATGGCACCCTGATCCAGCAGGATCTGAAACCATAAGGGTCTTAATAAAGATACGAGGGGTTATCGCATCAGGCCAGCTGCTTCCCCTGGGACAGGGGTGTCTCACGGTGCTGCTGCATCTCGTAGGTGGGTGCTTGCAGGCTGGCGGAGAGCAAGCCAGTCTGGACCCACAAGTGAAGCACAGAGAACGTTCAACTGTTTTACGGGAAGGGAGCTGGCATCTGGAAGAAACAGCTGGTTTTGCTCAGAGTATGAGGGTTTATTAGCTGGGTGCAGCACCACATAACTTTGTCTGTAGGATCTCTAGCAGTGTGCTGCAGAACCTTGCCAATTTGGCTACTTCTGGAGTATGTTCCCCTCCTAGTATCAGCGTATCACAAGTACCACAGCAATTGCCAGAGACGGAGGGTTACCGTCATCCGTTCTGCTTAGGCGTCTTACAGCAGTGCCCCGTCCCACTGATAAACCTCCAGCCGGTGCCGTTCGGCTGCCAGCGCTGAACAGGACCCGTCTGAATGAGGTCCCTCCTGCTCACTGCGGAGAAAAGGACTCCACAGGAGTTGAGGGCATTTAAAATGAAACAACAACAAAAAACAACCCTTTAAAATATAATTTGACTCCAGATTTTTTTTTTTTAAAATACAGCTTTTCTCACTGCCTAAGTGAAGAATACGTATCACTAATGTTCAGCTGAAATTCTCAGAACTTTAACTGCTACGTACGCAACCCAAGTATTGCAACAGCAGGAACCCGAGAGCGCGACTGACTTGTCATTACAGGAGCTGAGAAAAACAGAAACAGCAAATAGTGCTTCAGAAATGACAAGCGAATAGGATTATCATTCTTTCAGCCTTAATCATATAAAGTGAAACCAGCACCATAGGTACAGAAATTTCCCTTAGATGGGATTTGTGTTGATGGTGCTCTCCTATGAAATGTCTTCTCCAGTTTATATACATTTTTTTAACTCTCCCCTCTATCAAGACATGGTAGCTGGTATACTTGTTACAGCCCTGTGTCCTGTCAGCATCAGTCCGATATTTCACGTGGTGCCACTGGAGACAGCTTTATTTCAAACGAGCAAAGAACTGCAGCTCAGCTGTGGTCCTGCACTGCTCCGATTCGCACAATCTGCTCAGTCCGTAGCCTCGAACCGACTTACTGCCGAGGCAGGCTGCACGTGAAGCGCTGGAGTAACTTCAGTTGGTCAGGAAACGAATGAACCGGAATGAAAGTCCTCGATGTCGTCAGCACGCTCAGATATCGCTGCTGGGCTCTCGAAGGAGAGGCATTCGAACGCTGTGTTGTGCTAAGAAGCTGCTCCCAGGAGGCATCCGCATTCCGCCACTCAGAAAGGGTTAATGCTCATTCTGTGAATTCTCAGCGTTTACTGCTTCGGCCAGACTTTGGTTTTCACTTGCATGTCTTTCTGGAAGCCAGAGGGGTTTTTTTTCTTTAGTACCATCAAGAACAGGAATAGAAACTTTGCAATAAGCTCAGAATGTTCCTTGGCTCAGCGCTTGGGAAAGAGATTTGGGGTTGGATTTCCTATTGCTTCACACTTACTCCTGCCCACTAGCAGGGTAATGATCTTGTGGACAGGCGTTTCTCTCGCATGAACCATTGGCAAAACCGCCTGCTTCTCCCCGACTTACTGTTGTCGTGTATCCTCAGCTGGCCTCTGGCGGTAAATGCATCACCTTCCCCCACTGCCAGTAGCCAGGAAGACTGTGAACTCCAGTGTCATCTACTCAAAGACACACTGCATATTGTGGCCAGGGAGAGCAGGTGGGCAGAGATGCTTATTACTTCCTAAGGGTTTTTATTAAAATGTTTGGGATAGATGGTCTGGTTCTATTTCTTGGCAGCTGGTCATAATACTCTAGCCTCTACAGCGATTAAATGATGAATTTCCAGAAACAGAGCAAGGTAAGTAAGCATGCTGCCGCTTCAGAGCGGGAAAACAAAGCAGCACGGGGCTGCAGAGGGAACGGAGTCCGTGTCAGAGCTGGGACTGGCACAGGAGCTCTCCTGCAGAGGCCCTTCTGCATGGTGCCTCCCACACTCAGGCTTCGGGAGCGCTCCATTCCCAGCAGCTTGTCTGGCAGCATTTGGGGATTGACTTTACCACCGTGCTAACCTCAGATATTAATAGCAGAAAGATGTCCACTGCTTTCAGCTGTCCAGCTTTGTCTCTGATGGTCTGGGAGTTTATTCCTGTGCGCAGGCAGATAATTGTCATCGCTCAGGTACTTCAGTACGTGTATTTCGCGCTGTAGGCTGACGGGGAAGGAGAAGCGTGTTGGTGGCTTTGCCCTGATACGCAACGACGGGCCTGCCAGCAGCGGGGCAGACGTGGGTGCTCCGGCGAAGGAGAACCTCTTGGCAAACACACGTTTGGGTGCGCACTCACCCAGCGCTGGCAGGGTGCCCTGCTCGCGTCCCTCAGCTATCTGCACGTCAGCAAGAGGAGAGCACACACCTTTCACCCGCGAATAAAAACAAGAAGGGGCACGTGAGACCTTAGGGGAGTAAGAGACCAAACGGAGCAAATGCTTTCCAAAGGTGGAGGTACGCGACCAGGCGGCGCAAGCACTGTTGGAAACAAGCATGTAAACGTAGTGGGAACAGCTCTGTGCACAGTCCTGCTTCTCATGGTGTGGAGTCACAGCAGAGTTCTCCATGTCCTGGCTTTGCTGCAGAAACCGCTCTGCAGTCACTGGGGTGACCGTTTACTGGGCGCTTTCCTGAAGCCAGGTGTGTGTTCTGCCGTTGGGAAGCAGGACTCGGATTCTGAAGTCAGGCTTCCAAGAGGCTGACATACTTGACCCAGTGCGCCTACAATCGTCTCTGGCTGTAGTTTCTGCCTACAAAACATGAGTACAGCTTCCCCTGAAAGCGGGACGCTGCCTCACCTCTACAGGAAGGAAGGGTAAGGTGAGGTGGAACTCCTGCGTTAACGTTTTCATTGCCGGCCGCTACAGTGACAGGAAGAAACGACTGAAGCAGCTTTTCAGGAATCTTCCTGCACAGCAGAAAGCGTACTGCTGGTCCCGAGCTCGGGACGGGAGAGATCAGAATCACAGAATCACAGACTGGTCGGGGTTGGAGGGGACCTCTGTGGTCACCCAGTCCAACCCCCTGCCCAAGCAGGGTCACCCAGAGCAGGCTGCACAGCACCACGTCCAGGTGGGTCTGGAATATCTCCAGAGAAGGAGACTCCACAGCCTCCCTGGGCAGCCTGGGCCAGGGCTCCGTCACCCTCAGAGGGAAGAAGTTCTTCCTCGGGTTCAGCTGGAGCTTCCTCTGCTTCAGTTTGTGCCCGTTGCCCCTTGTCCACGGATCGCCACGGGTGCAGCTCATTCACTCTCTCTTCCCCCTAACGCGCAGTGGCCGTTCCCACTTTTCTCTGGACAGTGCTGGCTCTGCGCAAGACGCTGGCCGCCTTGCTTCTGAAGGCTTCCCAGCTTGGAAGCTGCAATGAGCTCGAAGTATTTCATCACGCTGACACGGGACATGAGGGATGCTGGCTTCTCGGCTGTCCATCTGTGCTCGCAGAGCTTCGTTCTGACCGTGGAAGAAAATCAAGGGGCTAAACACGTCCTGCACAGCAAAACAAAGCTTTTAGGGGCGGCAGGCACCTGATCCTCCTCCTGCTACTACTATGGAAACATGTCAGAGGAGAAAAACCTGTTGCCATGATACCGTAAAAATAACCTCGCCACCACGTGTTACGGAGCCGCGCCGCACAGGTTATGTAAGAGCGCGGCTCTAGCGCAGGGACTTGGCGCCGTGTCCTGCCGCTCGCTTCCGGGAGGGAGGCAGCTTCCAGGAAAAGCTACAGGCAGGACAGCTCGGGTAGAAGTCGAAGTTGTTTATCCTCTGTGTATCTGAGCCCTAAGCCTCACGTGGACAGCCTCGCTTCTTGCAGTTTAGGGTACGTGGCGAATTTTAAAACTTAGCTCAAGCAATGGTAGTTGACTTTTTAGATTTAAAGAAATCACAGCTCAGTTTTAAGATGGCTGAAACAGGGTATTTTTGGAACTGTCTCTGATTTGAAGCGCGTGTGGAAGCGGCCAAGGCAGTGCCGGGCTGCCTGGAGGCGGCACCCCGGCCTGCTGGGCTGGATGGCCGTCAGGGAGCCGGGAAGGGGCGGTGCTGTGGCCGAGGTCCTGCGTGGCTGCGCGGGAGGGAAGAGCGCAGGGGATCAGGCCCAGCGCTGTCACTCCTGCGAGGTTTGACAGACGAGTGAGCTACCTCCAGAGCCGGAGGAGGAAGGACAGCCGCTGCGTTGAAAGCTTCTAAATTCTGTCCAGAGACATCTTTAAGAAGTTAAAAAAATAAAGGCCTTGGCAGGACCCACTTTCCTGTATACAGAATCAAATCCAACTCCCTGTAGTCCGCTACTAGTTATGATTAATTTTTTTTAAATCGTCTTATGGTCTTAACCAAGTTGTGCTGGGGTAGCAGGCTCAGACCGAGGGCAGTGCAGCAGACAGCAAGTGTAAACACCTTTGAAGAAACCATTGCCGGTTCGATCTGTTGTCCTGTTACTACACAACAGGCTCAGTGGCAGCTCAGCCCTCTTCAGGCTGCTTTTTTTAAACACCTGTACATTTTACATCCCTGCATCTGGCTTTGAAAGCCTCCTTTCTGTGGTCTCTGCCTTCCAGCTTAGCAGCAGAACAGGGTTTCCCAGCGAGACTAAAAGGACGCTGCCTCCCCCTGTCCCTCCCTACGCATCTTTAGAGATGCCTGACGTGCCTCAGATGCAGTTTCGCTTTGTTTTAACACCACAGGCGCGCACAGCTCCT